GGGGGGGGGGGGAATTGAGTCTAAACACCAGTACCTTAGAGTACACGATTAATGTTGTAACCATGGAGCCAGCAGCCCTTCAAAAATTATTCTATAAAGAGGTTTTACTGACTTGAGGAAATACTTATGACATTATGTTAGGTGGAAAATGCAGGCTAAAAAAAAGGTGTGTTCAGGAACTCAGCCATGTAAAGCAATGGGCACAGGACAGGGGTGTCCAAAATGTTCATCGAGTTTAGCTGTGATTTTTTAACCTACTCTTTTTTTTTTTCTCCTGTCTATTCTAAAATTCTATGCTGAGAATGTATCATTTACAGACTATAAACATAATTGTTTTTATGTTTAAGACACTAATTCTGTGTTTTTAAGAAAATATAAGCTGTCAGGTCTTACTTTGTTTTCTGTGGCTTCCTGGTCTGCTGTCCAGATGCTCCCCCCAACCAAGAGGGAATCCCACCCCGGGGGCTCCATTCATTTACTCACATCCCGAGTATTTCTGGAGTTGGTCAAATTCTTCTGGAGTCAGGGAGACCCAGCGATCTTCACTCATCTTTAAGCTGGGTATGAGCACTTGAGGCGGGGAATGGAGTTCTGTTCACCAGGGTGAAGCTGTGGCCCAGCCCAGGGCCTGGCTCATTGCAGGTGTGCGATGGACAAGCCCTTTGGGAGCCTTCTCGAGGACCCAGCGTCTATGGTAGCAGCGGCACCTTTCAGCAGATGAGCGAAGACCTCTGCTGTTCTTCAGGGAGCATCCTTCTATCTGTAGTCAAGGTAAATTCAGAAATCCTTGCTCTTCCTGGGCAGAAGTAGAAAAGGCATTGTGAAAGACTGAGAGTGTTTGAGCATATAAGTCATCTTTTCTTATTAAAAAATCCCCAAATTTCCTTTGCTGGAAGATTTAAGGAGGTAATAATTCTCAAGGGAAGAATGCTTCCTCAGGGAAGTCTGAAGAAGGTGTAGAGACCAGACCAGCACAGCTCCAGATGGGTGTCTGCCGGGGTTGGGGATGGGTGGCCTGTAAGGATAGGTGGCCATACTTTTAAACTCTGGGAAATTTTAAATATCTCCCATGAAAGGTGGTAGTAGAGATGACTAAGGGCATCCCCCAGGCATGAAAATGCCTCAGGCTATCGGGTGCTTCCCCTGTAATTACAGGGACAGTAGCCTATATGGGGTGATTTGAAAGGTGAGCTATTCTCTCCTTCACTGACTCTGAATTCTGCCATTAGAGCTGCTCCCCTTCCTCTGATGAGTCACTCTGGAAATGCAAACACCCACCAAGGCTGGCTCACATCCTAGTGACTGAAGCAGTTCTCTTTCCTCTCAGAACCATCAAAAGAGCAAATGGAGGCCAGGCCTGTGGGCCTCAGTGTGGAAGATCCTGAGGGGGGACAGGCAGATGGATTTGCAAAACACTTAACATCTTGTTCTCTGAACCCCTCCTAGCACCGTGGCTCCCACTGTCAGTCATTAAATCAGTTTAGTGGATTGTGAAATGAATGTAGTGGGCCAAGACCAGCACTTAATAACATGAAATAGGTTAGCGGAGAATGGAATGGAGTCAAATGGCGTAGAAAATGAGACTACATCTCCTTTTAGTTATAAATACATGTGTACAATGATCATAATGTATTTCTTATTCTGAGTTAGGTTAAAAAAATGTTGGAAAGCTACCAGCATAATAGGTGTAGAAATAAAGATAGATGCTACCGTAGAACAAGCGCAGTTTCAGTAAAGCAGGACCCATTGTGGAGGGTCAGACTTCAAGGCAAGTCTCGGGAGCCTGGGGCACATGAGGAATGGTGGAGGGGCTGGAGGAGGCCACCCAGTGAGAAGACAGACATGTATGGTTCTCTGGAGGAGTGGACCTGGAAGGCTGACTAGAGCTGAGGGAAGATGCTGCAGGGAGATCTGGGCTCTGTAAAGGCCTTCCACCAATCAGAGCTCTCCAACAGTAGGTGGGCATGACCAGGGAGTGAGATGCCTGCATCCCTCAGAGCATCAAAGCTCTGTTTTTTCTCCTTAAAAAGTCCAGTGGCCAACTGGATCCACTGGCCAACTGGATCTGCTCCTCAGCACCTGCTCTTGCGAAGGTCCCCAGTGACCTTATTGTCGAATCCAACTGGCACCCTGCAGGCCTTCCTTGCTTCGTTTGCTCTCTGCAGAGCTTGCCTTGGCAGAAAACAACCCCTTTGAGCCCCTTTTATGTTTCTGAGTGTTCCTCCTTGGCCTCCTTCTGCCTCTTCCTTTGCCATAATAAAATATTGGTGTCTCCAGAATCCCAGCCTGAGCCCTCTCCTCACTCTACTCCCCTTCCCCGAGGGCTCTTATCCTCTCCCACAGATTCAGTGTCTCCCAGCCTTGCTGCTCTGGCCCTGCACTCTCTCCTCACTCCAATCTCAATATGCAACTGTCACTGTGGCTCCCTTGTATGTCCCAAGCCACTCTAAATCAGCACTTTCCCATGCCTCCCACATGCCTCTCCTCTGCATTCTGGTTGTGCCCTGAGACAAGCCAATACTCAGTCTGAGCATCCCCACCTCCTTCCCTGTCAACCCCGGGCACGAGTCCCAGAGGGTGACTGTCCGCTGTGTGTTCCCGCCTCTACATCACACCATGCGGTTCATTAACTCAGACCCTCATCTTCTCTTTCCTGGTCTCTGACAACAGCTTCCTGCTGCTCTCCCTGCCTTGGGTTTTGCTCTGCTCCTCTTGGTCCGCTCTACATTGCCAACTACGTCATCTCTTTCTTGGTAATAAAATTCTTCAGTGGTTTCTATTGCCTATAGAAGAAGATGTAATCTTCTTTTCATGATACACAAAGCTCTTTATGATCTGGCCTGTGATTGTCATTTCAGTCCAAAACCCAGGGGTAACCTTTAGAAACATTTCCATCATGCCAGGGAATCTAACATTACAACTGGTATTACCCCTGCTGCTGAACACTTATTTTACACTGTGCTCTCTGCTTTACCTCTGTCATCTAATGTAGTCCTTGTGACAACCATGTAAAGTAAGCTCTGCCTTCCCTATTTTTAGGTGAGGAAAATGAGGCAAGGTGCTTAGTGGGTATGGTGAGGGGAGAGAAGGATCCTCAATGCTCTTGCGTAAGAATGCCTCTCTGATAGCGCATTCTGTATGCTTTCAGAAGACAGAGCTCTAAGAGGGCCCAGGGACACACCGCATGAGAGAACACCTTGGGACTCAAAATCAGAAGGCAGGAGATCTGAATCCGGGCCATGACTCTTAGAGCTATTTAACTATACACAAATTTTTTTGTTTCTTGAACTGTGGTTTCTTTATCTCAAAAATGGAATACTAACAAGAATTTCACTGAGTTAGTGTTATGATTAACTCAGTTAATATATGCAAACCCCCCCACCCCCAAGCCCCACCTACCACAGTGCTTATTAAACAGTGGGCACTCAATAATTTTTATATTCTTCTTTTTTTAATCCTCACCA